GGGAAGGTGAAGCCTTTGACTCTCTTCGGGCTCCGGCTGGGATGGTCGCTGTTCCTCGGCCTCAAATGCATATGCAGATGGCAGTAGGAATCCGCTGTTAGTCTCTTCATCCGCATGGAGCTCCATCGGAATCCGAAGATGCGTTCAGGCTTTCGGCCCTGAACTTCATCCCCTTGGGCATTGCGTGATCCAGCTGCACTGCTGTGCTCGGAGCCACAACACCCTATCTGGACGCCTGGTGCCTTAGGGCAGTGTCGGTCAATGACGACTCCAGACCAAGGACCACTGTCTTCAGTTTCTGCAGCGCAGAAGAGACAGTGGCTCAGACAGCACCCAGGGCCCACCCTCATTTATTTCCTGGCCTTGCAAGTGCTGTGACTCCGCCGATCTGTGTCCGTCTAAGAAAGCAAGATGCGAATTCTGATCCGATCCGCTCACATGTGTCGTTGGCCATCTTCTTGTACAGCTTGAGTGGTTAGTGAGAACTGGTCACACTAATTGGTGTTCGGCCACGCTGTTAATGCCTCACTGCGAAAGGGCAGATCCCTTTCCAGCCGAACGGCCGAAGATGGTTGGATGTGGCCAAAGATGTCCTGTCCGCTGTCACGCTGTCGCTTTGCGCAAAACGCAAAAACAAATGTTCTGCGCATCTGCCGGGGTGGGGTGGAGAATTGCAAGGCGAAGTCACGAGGCTTCCGCAGCCTGGAACTCTGAAGCTTCAAGCCTCGACGATGCCCCTCTGCAGCATAGCATCTTCTTGATCGCAGAGGAGGCATCTCCTCAGTGACCTTCCCGCCATTTCTCGTCTACTGTAGTTGCGAAATCTCACGACGCAGGGCATGACAATCCTCCTAAAATTCTGCTGGGCTGACGATGCCAGGGGCCCAGCAGGGTCCCAGAGAGGCCATTGGGGCAGCTTGGAGCTCGAGGCATTCTCTCTTCTCTGCGTCTTTAGGTCCGCCGTGTCCGAGTTGAGGAGCTCGCCATGGACCAGGCTGGCATCTCTAGGTGCATCCAGGAGAAAGTCGGAGGTGTTACATGCATCAGGTGTGGCAAGAAAAAGCAGTTACACAAAGACACAATCTTGACTGCGAAGTCGCCAAAGGTCAAAGCAGCTTGCTTGTCGCGCCCTCGGACATTCCAATGCATCAGTCCGGCGCACAGCGCTTGGACACTCCACTTGCACCCTCTGTGTCCACAGGCGAATCTTCGCGGAACGTTTGGCACCGGAAGATGAGGACGACTAGCTGCATCTGTGTTTTCCATTGTAATTACCAGATGACTTTCGGCCTTCAGGACCAGATCCAGCTAGAGTTCTTGTGGCAGGGCTCCAACAGGCTGCTCACCTCAGCGACTTTCCCCGAGCTGGCCGCTCCCTCAGAGAAGCGCCTGGTCTTGGCTGGGGTGTGCCCACTCTGTGGCATCATTCGGGGTCTGCAGTGCTGCGGAAGCGAAGGTTGTTCTCTATGGGCAGCTCACCCGGGCCAATGAAGTTCCGCAGCCCTCACTGCGGCTGTATGTGACAGAGAAGGCGAGGACGTCAGAGAGATCCTTCCTAAAGCTGCGAGGCTGCACAGTTTGAGTGTGAGGTTGCAAAGCAGGCAACAGATACTCTGCCAGACTGCAGTCATCGGTTCGGAGAGTTGGGAGTTGCTCTTGCAACCAGACGTCGGGCTCGGCAGGAAGGAGCTCGCCTCTCAGAGCAGCCCTGGGTCGGGCTCCAGCCGAAGTTGGAGCAGCTGGAGGAAAGGGTGTCCACAGCGTCCACATCCAAATTTGTGATTCACATCTTCAGCAATTGAAGCAATGCAATACGAAGGTGTTTTAGGCGCCCATCATTGCAGGTACGCATCAACACGTTTTGAGATTCATTCAGTGACTTGCCGTAGCTTCGTTGGACAGGGTAGGCAAGTCAGTTCCTGTCCTCCCGCAACACGTGAAGTGCCTACTTGGTCACAGGGTTCCACAAACACACGAGGGCCTGATGCAGGAGTTCGTGCCCCAGCACGATGCTGGCCTCAGCGACGTCGTGAGCACCGCGGATGCGGAGATTCCTGTGAAGCAGGAGGCCCTTTCCTCCTGTACCTGTTCATGCAGAAGCTGGGCTCAAGCAGGCCGTGGAGGAGCCGAGCATCGGAGGCTTCATGGAGGCTCTGTCGCTTTGGAGAGGGCCACAAGCTTTGGTCGGAGTGGGGGCAGGCCGATGAAAGGACAGTGCGGAAGGCGGCACGGCTCATGCTGAAACAGGCGGCAGCTTCTGCTGTTGCGCCCGCTCTTCCCCATATCTACCCTGGTACAGGTGCAGCGACAGCGGGAGGCTGCCAGGACCAGCGAGAATCACAAGAAATCACGAGAAACAGATGAAGTGGATGTAGCGCTGTAGCGTGCTGCAGCGGTGTAGTCGCCGCAAGGAGGGATGAGAAGAAAGCAGTGCAACCCTTGGTTCTGTGTGTCCAAACGTACCACGACGAGCATGACAGACCTTGCCAAAAATGCCTTCCTAATGCTCACAGAAGGCGGCCAAGTGGCGCAAAGCTAAGCACAAGGCCTTGAGGCGGATGGAAAAGGCGGGAAACTCGGTTTTTTGTGCTGTGCTCAGGTGTGCCACAAGCTTCGCCAGCTGGAGCACGCATACGGCATAGTTGCTTGCTATTACTATGGTTACTATATTCAGTCTTTGAAGTCGCAACTCTGAAGCCGCGATTGATACTGGTTACAAGACGCAGCATCTGCGGCATTTCCGTTTTGTTCAGGTTGCGCGCAAGCTGGCTCGGAAAGCTGCGAAGTCTGATGGACGGCATCGGAAGTGTGACAAGGGCAAGAGGCACAAGCGGAAGAAAGATGCTTGGCAAGCAAACTGCAAGAACGATTTCGTCATGTGGAAGTGGCAGTATGTAGAAACAGTGCTGCTTGCGTCAACGTTGAGGAGCGGTGTGTGCGATCCGAACCAGAGGACAACGATCACATGCTGACAAAGCATGTGTAGGTCTGATATTTTTTGGCAGGAGCTGGAGGCTGATGGCTCACATCAAGATGGGGAGGTGGCATGCGAGTCATTGCGAGTCTTTGTCTGTGCTCGTCTTGAACTGTCACTAATGCTGTGATCCTCGCCGGATTACATGCTACCTCTACAGTAGTGACTCTCGTGCTACATGCAGCAGTGCGAGGCATGGGCACAAAAGTTTGGGTGCAGTCAATCGTGAGTGCGTGTGTGTACATACATTACATAGACGCAGCAGCGGGCTTCGGCCAGGAACGCCTCTACAAAAAGATGCGCAAGGAAAGGAAGAAGGCCAGCACTAGGAACAGACTGAAACTGAGAAAACTCAAGCCGAAAAAGATCCATAGCCGAAGTCCAGCCCAGCCTTCGGCTCTGGAGTGTTTCGGAAGGCTGCCAGGCGGCTCCAGCGGGCTGCGCGAAAGGCAGCTGTGTGATGATTGCCGTTACAGTAAGACTGTGAGTTTCACTTGCTCGACGTGCTCCTCGGAGATGGCTGGACCTGCCACTGCACAAGTCTGGAATGTGTGGAGGCGAAGAAGCATCGTCGACACAACCTGGAAGGCGAACGCACGGCAGGGAGTGGCACCCTCAGTGCATTTTGGACAGCCCTAGCAGCTGCTCGACAGACAAGAGCCTTTTGTCACACCAGTGCGCAACGGCTGCAAAAGAAGCCGGCCATCATTTGAGAGAGTAGGTTGCAAACAATACGAGACACGCAGATGTTCGCCCCAAGACATGTGAACCTTGTTTGGACACGCAGACTTTGAAGGTGATGGTGAGGGCACTGAAGGCAGCATGGATCCGGAAAAGGACGAAAGCCCTGTCTGTGCTTGTGGCCAGGCTTGAAGAATCAGAACCTGTCCCAGGAGGTTTGCCACATGGTGTCTGTGGCCTTCCGCGGCTTGCTGAGCGGTGAAGAAGAAGTGTCCAGATCCTGGGTGCGCCCAGTGGTGTGAGGCTGCCAGAAGGAGCCAGGCCTTGCGAGCTATCCGGGCAGCCCCGGGCTACTGCAACAGGAATTCGGGAATGAGGGAACGAACTCATCAAATCCCAGATGTACATACCTCAGCTTCACGGTTTCCTCCGGCGCCCCACCCGGCCTTGCCAAGTGGCGTGAAGCAGGCAGAGCCAGACGGGATCGCAGGTGAGACCCTGATCACATGAGAGGTATTTAAATTCTTTCCATAGATTCTTGTACATATGGCTTGGACGATTTAACATGCGCCGCAGTTTTGCCATTGCCCTGCTCGATCTGGATGTGGCGTGCACGTATGTTTGGTGTCGAATCTGGTGGCACAATTTAGCGCTATGTTCATGGTTTATCGACCTTCAGAGATCTTCAGAGAAAGATGGGCAGGGCTGTGCAAGACTGCAGCAGGCGGACATCTGTGTGGAAGTCTATCAACGAAAGATTGATGAGATGTGCCCTTCAGGGCGGAACAAGCTGCAACTATGTTTTTCGTGCGGTTGATGCCCTGTCCATTCAGTCCCGCGCAATCAGAAGTGCCAGGGACTTGCGCATGCAGGCGCAAGTGCAGGGCCATCTCAGGAAGAAGGTGTTCTTCCCATTCCTCGCAGCCTCCCGACATGGCCCCTCGAAGCAAAAGGCATACTGTCTATAGCCTCTCCAGAAAAGGCAACGACTTGTACATGATGTAGCAAGCTCGCCCCATTCACGCATGGTGCCGTGAGATTATGTTTCGCCTCTGTCCGAAGCTGTTCAGCGTCACAGTTTGCTGGCGCCTCTCTTTGAGGCCAGGATGGTTTCCCGTAGGTGGTTAAATCGTGTTTCTGTTGCTTGTTTGTCATTGCAGGTGTTGGGCCAATGCCACGGCCTGGCCAGGATGAAGGCCACGGCATCACCAGCACCATGTGACAGGAGCCCTAGAGACAAGCCCTGCCCGCAATCCTTGGACTGCCGCTGCCGCTGTCAAGACTCAATTCAAGGGATAGTGCCATAGTGCTGTCAATTTCCTGACGACCTGCTTCTAGCTTCAAGATGAAGGGTTTGCGCAACTTGTCCGCAGCTGCAACTGGGCTGGGCGCCAAGGGGGCACTCCTGTATCTAGAAGTCTAGCCTCCAGGTATTGGGATCGTTGCCGCTGGTCTCCTGACTGGCACACAAGCAGATGTGCCGCTTGCAAAAGAGTTCGAGGAGTTCGTCGCCAAGTTTGAGAAGAGCTTCGGCCGCAAGATGTACGTGCTTGTGGTTTGTTGGAAGGGAACATTGGCATGACCCTCTGTGGTCTTAAGCGTGCCGCGATGAGGCAATGCTGAATTGAGAGAGGGGTAATTGACAAAGGCAGGTGGATACATGGAAGGAGGAGCGGGCAGATCTCGCCCTTTCACCAGAGTAGCCGTCCACGCAAAGGAGACATTCGATGTCAGCAGCTGCCACGGTCACAAACTGACATCCGATATACTGTAGCCTCTGTGTCACACCATGCCACATCTGAAGAAAGGACATGACAAGACAGATTGGGATAAGTGGCAACACCGATGCTCCCAGGACCTACTCCACGGCGTCTGAGCGGGCAGCTCGCTTCGCCACGTTTGCCAAGAACTTCGCCCGCATCGAGGCGCACAACGCCCAGGGTAAGTCCTTCAAGTTGGGCATCAACGAGTTTGCAGACCTGGCGCCGGAAGAATTCGCTACTAGTCACTTCGGCATGAAGGAAGGAACCCGAGCCTGGTCTGGGTTGCCTTACCTTGGCAGGGACCCGCGCCTCGGCGGCAGGCCTCTGCTTTCCTTCTATGCGTCTCCTTTCTGTAACCACATCTTCAAGTCGTGAGGTACAGCGGCGCCGCATTGCCCTCTGCAGTGGACTGGGTGAGCAAGGGCGCCGTGACTGACCCGAAAGATCAAGGAAAATGTGGCTCGTGCTGGTCCTTCTCCACGACCGGAGCTTTGGAAGGTGCATGGCAGCTCGCCACTGGCAAGCTCGTCTCCTTGAGTGAACAGCAGCTGGTGGACTGCGCTAAGAACGGCAACATGGGCTGCCAGGGTGGTTCCATGGATTTGGCTTTTGAGTACTTGGAGAAGTACAATGTCTGCACGGAGGACAGCTACCCATACACGGCCAAGCAGGGAACCTGCATGGAGACGAATTGCACGGTCGCGGTGCCGAAGGGCTCCATTGTTGGTTTCAAGGATGTCACGCCCCAGGATACAGACGCCCTTCTGGAAGCCGTGTCCGAGCAGCCAGTGTCTGTCGCCATCGAAGCAGACCAGGAGGCCTTCCAGCTTTACAGCGGGGGAATCTTGACGAAGGAGTGTGGCAAGAAGCTGGACCATGGTGTGCTGGTGGTGGGCTACGGCACTGAGAATGGCGTGGACTACTGGAAGGCACTGGGTCGACTGCTGTTTCAGCATGAACATGCATAGTACACGCCTTGCTTCTTTTGCTTGCTGTCACCGCTGAGGTGAAGAACTCTTGGGGAGCCCAGTGGGGAGAAGATGGCTTTGTGCGCATTGAGCGAGGGGTGCCCAAAGACGGCGAGTGCGGCATCAAAGATCAGCCGTCCTATCCCATCGTCCATGCCCTGAAGAGCATGGT